GAATGTGTACTGAGTCACTGCATAACTGTTCACGCACATGATAGGAAAAAATGGGGGATACAGAAAGATATGGCTCCCTCACACTACTACTGTTAAAAGTGCCACAGGGTAGTTTTAAGACATAATTCTCTGATAATACAATATATCTGTGGGAAGCTAAAATCAACCCATAATATCAGGCATGCTTTTATTTACATGTAGGACAGTGTATAATTTTTGTCAGCATGTGCCACTGATGCATAAAGTCTTACATTGGTTTCCCAGGGACATCAGAGGGGTTGCTACAGTAGGGCTCCTAAAAAAAATCTCCTCGCGGCTTGGAGGAGACATGAGGGGCTTGAGAATGTAGGCTCCAACTCCTGTCCCTCGCAGCAGCTGGCTTGGCCTCACCTGAGATAGTGAGCTGATGGAGTGGGGAGAACTACTGGGTGTGGTGGACACAAGTCCATCAGTGCCCTCCAGAAACTCCCCTATTGATGAGCCCTCATGGTCGACAAAGGATGCTGAACTTAAAGGCAGTGGTAGGACAGGGTCAAAGATAGAAAAGAGCAGCTCTTTTCTCTCACAGTGAAAGTCTTGAAAAGGGCTGAGGTTGTGGGTTTTACTTAAAGAGAGGTCCCACTCTTTGCTCTTGATTTTCTCAGAATCAAGGAAAGTGAGGTGACTTGATACAGACTCCCCATTTTCAGTTCTACCACAGAGGTCAGGGCTGACAGGCCTTGCTTTGTACCAGTCAGAGCTCCTTTGAAGCTCTTCCCCACATCCAAACAACCTATCAAGTTTCTTCTCTAAGCCTAGTGCCTGAGCAGATACAGGTTCCTGGCTTACATCACTCAGAAATTTAACTGGTAAATTTTTATCAGTCAGGACAAACTGGCTACCACTGTATGGGCTGGAGAACTCAGTCTGATCAATAGCATTAATATCAAAGGTATAATTGTGTGGGAGCTCAGGTGACAAACTGTCTTCTATAAAGGTGCAACTGTCCAGGCCTGGGTCTGACAAAAATAGGAGGCAATCATCTGACATGTTGCCCTCTTGCCTCAATGGCAGAGGCTGGGTACTCCTAGTCTTGCCTTTCCTGATTCTGGGCTTTTTATCCTTGGGACTGGCAGATTTTGGGGCCCTGGGTTTCTGAGTAGTGGTGGAGAGAGCTCTTCTGGATTTAGTTGGTTTAGGTGTAGGATCTAGTAGCGCTGCAGCCTGAGCTATGGCAGTGGAGTGGCTGTCTGTACCAATCACTTGTAGTGGAAGGACCTGTCCCTTATGCCTCTTCTGGAGAAGCTGCTTGAGAACTGTCAAGCTAGAAGGGGTCTCACAAACAGCGGGGATCTCCCCATTCTTGGGGCCTGAATGTAGGAGGGCAACTGAAAATTGGGGGTCTTTACCATTATCCAGTAAGGGCTGAGCAACCAGAGGACGTGAGGGAGCCATGCAATCCTCCTGTGAAACCTCTGCCTTTATCACATTGGTCTGGCAACCTTGCTGCTTCAGCTGAACACCTGGTGAAAAGCTTTGGTTGACCTCCATGATTGAGGTCTCACAGTCCTCAACCTTTGCTTCTATAGACCGGACTACCGAGTAGGAGTCTGGTACAGATGCAGTCTGGGAATGACCCTGGCTGTGCTCTGTGCTCACTGGATGTTGAAATGAAGGAACCTCTTGAGAGAAACTCTCTGAAAAAAGAAACTCATTCTCAGGGTAAAGGAGCTGAGAGCTGGTTTCACTTAACTCATGGCATTTGGGTTCCTTGGGTTTCTTCTTATGAAACCTTCTAGGTCCTGTTATGGTTGTACAACTACTGACAGTACTGTCAGCTAAATCTTTAGCTTTCTTTCTCTGCCTTGGAGCAGCACCACTACTTTGTCTTGATCTCTCTTTTTTGGACTTTTCTTCCTCTGGAGGCTTAGTAGCCCTCTTGCTGATTTTCCTTTTAGTTTCTACAGATTTCTTAGGTTTGGCAGTCCGACACTTTTTTTGTGCTCCTTTGGTTGAAGATACAGTGTATGGCTTGTGAAAAGATGAATTAAAACATGGGTCATTGAAGGGGTTTATCAGCTGTTCTGAGCTGTTCATAAGAGGGTCACTTGGGGACCAACAACGTGGGGGTGTGCAATCTGTAGGGCTTGGGGATCTATCAGAGAGGTAGCCCAGCTCTACCATGACATCAGTATATTCAGTGTCATAATCATCTGCTAGTTCACAGTAACATGGCTGAGGTGGTGGTAGAGAGGGTAGAATCGGGCCTCTCTGACAGCCTTTAGTCCTTCTGACTCTTTTTCGCTGTCTGTCTTGAGGTCTGGAGGAGTTGCTGACTGTTTTCTTATTAGTTGAGTTGACCTTTGGCTTTCGTTTGGGCTGTTTCTTAGCCTTTGGCTCAGGGATGGGAAATCTGACTGCAGTGGATTCTGGCACCTTGGGCCAGAAATCTTTGAGAGGGGCCAATTTAGCATACTGCTTTAGCTTGTCCGGTGTCAGCGACACCAACTGCTCCTCTGCATTTAGTTTGGACATCTTCACCAACATGTTTTTCTGTCCTTTGAACCTGTTGATTATAATGTACTTTATGATGATAGGGGGCTCCTTCTTGCGTCGTTTCTGGTATTTTACGTCTTGCCCACTGGGGACATTGCTATTCTTGAGCTTGTTGTCTTTGGCGGAGGCTGGATTTCTAGAACGAGTGACACCTGAGTGTTCTCCATCTTCACCCTCGAAGCACATCTTTCGTTTGGCCCTCAGGGTGTATTTACTACCAGGCAGTGCTGAAGGTTTGGTACAGGTGACTTCAGCAGATTCATCTTGCAGTGGGCTTAACCTATCCTCTGCTGTGTCGTTAGCTTCTTCCGAAATAATGGAAACAGTTGTGGAGTTTGTGGCAGGGGGCACTGAAAATGGTTCTGCATGTTCATCGAAAGATCTCATCTCAGTTCCTGACTCCTCTTTTGTGACTGGCTTTCCCTCTACAATGGGCCCATCTTTAACAGGCTTAGCCTGCTTTATTGCCTTGACCTCTGAAAATGGCATCTCTGAAACTAGCATTTCTGTCTTCACTGGGCAAGCAGGCATAATTGGGGTGAAGCCAGTGCTAATCTGGCTGTCAGAGGTAGAGCTTGCAACTAGGTTTGATTTGTTCTTCTGTCCTGCCATTCCTAACCGTTTTTTATTCACTTTTAACCTAGACCTGCGAGGATGGGCCTGTTCTAGCTTGCTGCAGTAATCAGTAAGCTTTTTAGTCCCAGCTTTCTTCCTACTGAGGCAGTTGGACAGGATGACGCTGGGGAAGAA